AAAACCTACTTCACGCTTTAATAATTTCTTTAATTTAATTTATAGTCCTTCATGATAAACAATATTTTTAAGAAAATTTATTTTTCCCTTTTCCCCTTTTAACAGCGAAGAATAAATTCTTAGGATTTCTTACTCTTGAGCATGCAACATGCGTAAATAGAGTCTCGTCCGGGGAGGTAGACAGACCCGAACCCGTTTATGCGGATTCTACAGAGACTTTTTGGCCGAGCCTACGGGCTAGGATAACCCAAGTTAAACTAGACCTTGTGCCACGTCTAGCCTCGCTAAATATTAGCAATCGAATAGATTGAACGCTTGGTCAACCGACACACACTCACTAGTCGTGTATATATATCCAAGTTACGATTCACTTCCCTCTCCCCCTCTCTCTTTGCCGTAACACTCATTTAGATATATCTGTATTACTGCCGTCTGTCTCCTCTCTCCTTTCCATTTTTCCTTTTCTTTTCTCCCCACTCCCATTCCTATATATCATTTCCGTTAAGTTAACCATCTAAATAGGTCACGGTTCGGTCACTCCTCCTACCCCAATATAAAGCATGCTTAAGAGAGATATAAAATTAACCCCTCCCTATACTCTACCTTGTCTTTTTAACTGCAACTCTCACCCTCCCTGTTAAATTACAAAAATTACACTACCCATCAATTTCTAATCCCATTTTTCCTTTCATTTCGTTGTTGGAAGTGTTACCTGATGATCCGGAGTCCTTCAAAAAGGATTTTGGTGAAATAAATTATTGTAATGGTACCTTAAAGTGGTCTGTTTTTCATTATATATATATATATATATATATATATATATATATATATATATATATTCTAAGATTTTGTAATAAACTTAAATTATCAAATTCCAATTATCACTTCCCAAAAGTTTTACCGTAGACCCATTCAGTCATTCATTTTTATATTTTGTTGTTGTTGTTGTTGATAACGAGTATTGGCGTGGAAATTGAAATAGACAAAAAGAATTCAAATTAGTCCCTTGTATTTCCCTTCATGCAAATGCTAATGGGAAAGAATAATTATTCTCTTATTATTATTTGTTAAAACTGTCGATTAGTTCCTCGTGACTTGTGTAACAGCCGGTCAAGGCGGGGCAGCCCTAAAATTATACTAGCGTCGATATCCATCCAAACCCCTTCTTTAGAGGAAACAGGAAGGTGATGACGCAGGGTTTTAATGCCTGAAGCAGGCATCCCTCAAAGCTTTTACCTGAGCTGTCTGAAAGCAGAAAAATCGAGAACAGATACTACATTGACCCCCATCCTATATGCAGAAAAACAACAAAGAGGTGAACAGATAATAGACATTGATCTCTGCCAGAAGACGAAAGAGTGCTCGCTCCGATCGTTGGAAGAAATGCTGATCCATACAAAAATAGATCTCGTCATTTTTTACGGGTATTATGAATGTAATTCTATAAGACATGTTAAGATTGCTTGTCACTTCGGGAATCTGTCAAAAGTAAATGGATTTGAAGCCTCGCTAAAACTGACAAAATTTCCGACAGATTGATTTCAGTTTAATCGCGTTGTACAAATGTATCCGTCATCTGTAGCGAAATTTGATTTCACAAAAACAAGCAAGTTACATTGAATGACGCCATATGAATAATTCTTAACCTTTTCGTAGTTTGGCACAAGATCATAAATGCCATCTTTGGATTAAGAATCGACCTTAAAATTCATTAGTATAGTCTTTGAAGTGTCGCTTAATGACAGAAAAAAAAGACCATATTCAATGTCTGGAAAACTAAACTAGTTACATTCCATCACCGCCGATCAGACCCCGAACTACCGACGGTCACGATGAACGGATTTCCTCTCGTGGGGGCCTCGTGCCTTGAGTGGATATTGGGCTTCAAACTCACAGCCGACGTCAAGTGGAACTCCCATATACGATCCATCGCTAAAAATACAGGAAAAATGATCTGGTCACTGTACCGCTCCAGTAAGTACCTGATTCCTCATGTTATCCTCTACCTTTATCAGATCAGGCCAACAATGGAGTAATGTTGCTATATTTGGGCAGGATCTGCTCAGACCTCACTTTCCAGCCTTGATAGTGTCCAAAAGTGTATTCGAACCCTTGTTGGAGAAAAAAGTAGTATAGACTTTGAAGCGTCGCTTAAGAAGACCATATTCAATGTCTCGAAAACCTAAACTAGTTACATTCCATCACCGTCGATCAGACCCCGAACTACCGTCAGTCACGATGAACTGATTTCCTCTCGTGGAGGCCTCGTGCCTTAAAAGGATATTGGGCCTCAAACTCACAGCCGACCTCAAGTAGAACCCCAATATACGAAAAATCGCTAAAGATGCAGGTACAAATGATCGACTCACTGTAACTCTCCAGTAAATATCTGACTCTTCACTCTATCTTCTACTTATATAAAAGCCAGATCATGCTGACAATGGAGTACTGTTGCCATATTTGGGTGGGAAATACCTAGACCTCACTTTCCAATCTTGATAGCGTCAGAAATGTCCTCGAGTCCTTGTTGGATAAGAAATATTCTGATACTAAATTTCCAGTGGATAAAATGGTTATTTACATTCAGTGTCTCTAAAACCAAACTGGGTACATTCCATCACCATCGATCAGACTCCGAACTACCGCCAATCAACATGAACGGATTTCCTCGCATAGAGGCCTCGTGCCTTAAGAGGATATTGGGCCTCAAACTCACAGCCGACCTCGTGTTACTCTTATATGCGAGCCACTGCTAAATATGCATGTAAAATGATCGGCTCTCTTTACAACTCTAGTTAGTAGATGACTCATCTACGTTCATAAGAGCCAGATCAGGCCGACAGTGGAGTACTATTGCATTATTTGGGTGGGAGATATCCAGACCTCACTTGATAGAGTTCAAATCCGTCTACGAGTCCTTGTTGGATTGTAATTTTTCTTGTAATTTTCCAACCTCCAACCTCTCTCTCTCTCTCACAGGTAGGATATTGTGAGTCTCTCACTGCTCTATCGCTACTTCCATGGAAAGTGCTTGGACGAACTGCATTCCTTGGTTTCGTCAGGACTAACCTTCAAGGTCACGGCCCACCATTCCCTCCGTATTCAATCGGCGAAAAGTAGGTTCCACTTGAACAGCTTCTTACCGCGAACCACTGCCCTGTGGAACAGACTCCCACGAGAATGTTTCCCAGATAACTACAATCTTAATCTGTTCATGTTTAGAGTTAACCGTTATCTTTCTCTCATATCCGTATAAACTACCCCTTAACATAAGTCTCGATTGGCCCATGAAAGGAAACGGTATATGAAAAAATAGCACATAGCTGAATTTTGTTATTAAAGTTTCCCTGAAAAATGTTCAAAATGTCTGGAGTCAAGTGTATTGAGAAAGAAAGTATTTGAAAAAATATTTAAAACCATAAAATGAATGTTTCCCCTTTCAAACTTGGGTTACGAACATATACATGTTGCTATGATCAGAAAACGTTTTAAGATACTCTTGAGAACTAGGGGTATAATATATGGGGTTTCAAACCTTTCTCTTGTTTCCTTTATATTATTTAACAGTATCGAATGACAGCATAAGCTTACTGGTCACGTTTTGTACAATAATATGACCCCAGATATTTGTTCTCTTTTTTTTATAAAGTTCATATTAGAAGGTATTCCGTATTGCCAAACTAGTGAATATTCTATTTAATAAAATTGTGGCAAAGATTCCATATCAAAAAGCTTTAAGAAGTATTACCGTATTTGACGGCATATAAGAAGCACTTTTTTTTTATTAAAAATATCTGCGTCTTATATGCTATATGTAAGTTTAAAATTCACGATAGTCGGCTGAAATTAGCTACCTGGCACCTGCTATTGGCTTAAACTTAAACGTGAAGGAGCAATGGAACACGTGGATGGCAATGCCTTACACTTACTGGAAGAATAAAAAGACCCAGCACTGCACAAATCTGCGAATGGGTGAAGAAAACTTGGGATAATATTAGACCAGAAATTGCTGTGAAATCTTCTAGAAAGTGTGGCATTAGCAATGCTCTCAATGGAACGGAAGATGACGCATTATTAATGACGATAGTATTGAAAATAAGTATCTGACTTTTGATAACGAAGACGACGAATTTTATGGATTTGAAGATGAATAAAATTTTAATGGTAACTGTACTGCTTTTCTCAATTGTAATAATTGCTTGATACTTATTTTGTTTTCTTACCTTTGGATATAATAAAGTTTGTATATGTTCGTGTTCTTTTTTTCCTATTTTTCGTTTAATTGTAATCATGGCATGTTTAACCAAAATAATACCTCATAAATATAGTCTAGGCTCTACTAATAATTTTACTAAATTTACTAATTACTAATT